GGGGGCGGGGGTGTGGGCTGGGAGCGGGGGTGGCGGGGTTGGGGCAGGGGCATAGGTGTTTTGGCAGGGGCGAGGGTCAGGTAGCCCCGCGCCGGGGGTCCGGGGGTGGAACCCCTACCCCGGCTTGGACCCCGGGGATCCCCGCGTGATAACCGTGGACGAAAGAACACATGGGCAGGAGATGGGTGTGGTCGATGACGCCGGACCATCAAGTATAGGTGCAGTGAATCTCGTGAGCGATGAGAGCGAGGACGTCGGGGCGCGCGAGAATGTAGACGGGGAGGGCGGGACATTCGAAGAGCAGCAACCGCAGCCTGTCAAGTCTTTTGACAGCTCTCGCAAGCTGGCGGCACTGATTTTCTCCACCAGGGGCGGCGTTGGTATGTCGCAGAGTGATGCTCTCTTGTCACTTCTCACACACCCGAGTTTCAGCACGAGAGATATCGCGTATCGCAATAGTCGAGAGTGTTTGACATAGGCAGGGAGTCTAGCAGAGGCTGCTGGATGGAAAGAGTTGGATCTACGTTGTGACGATTGGCCACGAGATGCGCACGCCATCTTGTGACACCGCGACTGGCGAACGACATTTCTATCGATTTTTCATATCGCATTACAGAAATGTGAGACGGTGTCTTCTCTAGAAGTGTCTCTGCCGTCAGAGCACCTCAGTATATCCGGCCCACGCAGCGGGGCGCTAAGTTATCACATCCAGTCGATCATTCGAGCGGACAAAGGTGTGGACGGGAATGGTAATCCACGTTATGTTATCCCTTTTTCATTGTATTCCGACAATACACACACAAACGATCGTCAAAAACAGACGGCGTACCCTCTGATGATGTCACTAGCCGACCACGCATCCAAAGCCCCTATCTTCCTTTGCTTCATCATCGTCCACGTGACAAAGGATGGGGTCTGCAGTCCACCGCATTCAGAAAGCGAAAGACCATCATTTTGCACAAGGCCCTTACAGTGGTGTTGCAGTTTGCGAAGGAGGCATCTCATGACGGAATAATGATACCGACAATGCGATTCGGGAACATAACTGTCCACCCTTTCCTCCTCAACTACATCCAGGACTACCCAGAACGATGTGCGATTGCAACTGTGAAGTTTGGTGTATGTCCGACATTCACCGTGTCAAAAAACGAGTTTGATGTCATAGCCGATTTCACAGACTGCAGGAGATCACGCACGCTGGAAACACACCTCACAGCAGATGTGTTCACCGCCGACGACATCGACGTTCACCGTGCAGCGGAAGCACGAATGTCGGAGTTGAACATGCATAGGCATGTTCAACAGAACGACCTTTGGGGGTTCTACAGGGGCCCCAATGGTGACGATCCTCAGCTAGACTACCACCTGACATTGCAACCGGACCGTTTGCACACAATCGAGCACGGCATATTCCTGCACATGATTGACGCATTGAGGACCGCAACCTTTGAGAAGTTGCCGTACTTACCGCAAATAGAGATCCTGAAGGAACTAGATGCAAGGTTGCAAAGTGTTAGTGAGAGATGCACGCGAACATACCCCCAACGTGTGTTGCCAGTGGCCACTGGCAGCGACTTTTTTTCGAGGGAGAGACGGTTCGAGGCGAATCAAAACCGGTCTGTGATGACAGTGTGCGTGTTCCTTATTTCTAATATTCTCCCGCGCTCGACAGGCAAGGGCATTACCGTTTGTTTTGTGAAACTGATGAAAATGTACATACGAGTGTTTCGGTGTACAACACACACTCGTGCTTCGCTCGATGAATGCGACGCTTTAATCACGAACTTCGTAACGACTATCAAAGCAAAATTGAAAAAATATCAACCATCAACATAGAAACTCCCCAAGTTGCACGATCTCATGCATCTGAGAACGTGTATTGAGCGATCCGGTGTCCCCGACACCTTCGCGACAGATGTTTGGGAGCATCACCACAACAAAATTCTGCAAACAACCATACCTGTCATCAAATAGGAAGAAAGCTTCAACCCAGATGGTAAACCATGTACCCCGGTCATTGGTATTGCGCGAAGAGATCGGGATCGTGAGAAAACGGAGGAAGAGAACGGTTGAGAACCTGTCGTCCGTGACAGACTGTATGGCCACCGGAATGAACACCCTCGCATTACGTGATACGACAATGCTATAACTACGGTGGTTCGACATCGATGACAAGTACATACGCGAGGGAGAAGGCATTGACAACCATGCGTGTACGATACTCAAAGAGCTTTCTTGAAGACGCGATTTTCGAGTTACGCTTACGGCATACATGGTGGAGAATGGTTGTCAACCTCCTTCTAACGACATCCTTATACACACACGGACACACCTGGCCATCACCTGCGTACATGATGGAACAAACAGGGGCACACTTGTTCAAACTGCAAGAGCATCGCCATAGTTCCATGAGAGACCAGTGGACAATGACATCGCAATTAGAGTAGGCAACGAATGCACATCATTTGCATCAGTAGCCATGTTTTTTGTCATGGACGCACCCGCGGACAGCGGTAATATGGAACACAACTGCGGATTTGTGCAATGGTACAAGGAGGTCGACAGTGAACGACAACATGTGACAGGTTGCAAGAAATTGAAATAGGAGAAGTTGAATGGACATCAACACAGTAGCGTCGTTTCGACCGACACTATTGTAGACATAGTTCACATTGTTTCGCGCTTCTCTAAACCACAATGGGGATCGAAGCAGCATGCAAAACAGCGTGAGGATTATTTTTATTTGAACAAGTACGTATTGTAGAAGAAACAAATGAAAAGTTTTTATGTTTGCTATGAGAGAGAGAGAGAGAGAGAGAGAGAGAGTAACGCCCTTCATCAGAAGTTTGACGAATTCTGTATGTCTGTCTATCTGTCGTCGCCACAGAACAGTCATGTTGTTTCTTCCGAAGTATAGGGGAACAAGAGAGGACATTCGCCTCTTTCTTTCTGTTATTTGTTGAGAAATATCATGTCAAATGTGGCCAAGCTTATGACGCGGTGAAAACCACACGCGAGACGAAAGTGTCCCCAAAAGTTCACTACTGCGTGACATTTACGTGGTCAACAGTGACATCGTTTCAGTTTTGGCACGCAGTAGCCTCTCTCTCTCTCTCTCTCTCTCTCTCTCTCTCTCTCTCTCTCTCTCTCTCTCTCTCTCTCTCTCTCCGAAGTATTTTATAAAAACGATTTCAAGTTGTTAAAAAACTCAACAAATCGGTTGTGTCATTCCATTTTGTACGACACGTGTGAACAGGAACAGAAACGTACGACGTCGCGCAGCGTTCGGAAAGGAGCGACTCAGAACACTGAATAACAGGGTGCAGGTAAGAGAAACCGAGCGAGGATGACAGAGTCACAGAAAAGTAACACGTGTGGTGCCGGCGCGAAGTGGTCATATGTGGGTACAAAACCGGTCACCGGTCCAAGGATGGAAAATAAGGACGAAGAGCACCGCAGAGAGGTGGTAAGCGAACCGTTGTTACCATTGACTAGTGAGAGGTCAGCAAAGAGGTGACAGAAAATGTTGAGGGACCCTTGGTACGTGGAAATGTACGATATAATGACAGATGGGGAAGCAAAGTCTCCCAGTTGATAATCGAAGAGTCATCCGACATTAAGAGAAAAGCGAAAGTCGGGGACATGACGAGAACGAGAGAAGAGCAGACTGACATTAATGATGAGGACGAATTGTTCCCCTTCACGTGGAAATCAAAGAGACACGCTATACCCGTAACAAAATCCGACGTTGTACGATTGACCGACAACGAACGGCTGGACAACAACATTATCGACATTTATTTGCAGTCTCTGTATGAAGAACAGTCGCCGCCACTGGACAGTGCAACAGTCCATGTCTGCACAACTTTCTGGCACCCCGATGTTATTGGCAATCAGAAAGTGCATTTGACGAAAAGCGGATGGGAGGACGAAATCAAGAATAGACCACGGAAGTTGCATCGACTTAGCAATGAACTGCGACGCGCGACAACCACTGTAATACCTGGGAACCATAACAAATATTGAATTTTTCTTTTGTTGCTCGATATCAGATCCTTCTTGGCAGTCACTCAGGACAGCCATGTCTACGAATCTCTTATCGCCATCGTTGTTGACTCCTTGAAAGGGAAGAAGCGATTGGAATGGAAGGCCTTGCGAACATTTTTGTGGCACGAGTACCTCCACGAGGCATCCAACTCGGGGGTGTTGACACCCGAAAAGGTTCATATGTCGTGGGTGACATGTAGAGATCTACTACGAAGTAAACTTTTGCATGCAGAGTGCCCGCAACAGAACAATTACACGGATTGTGGTGTCTATGTATGTTGCATCGCTACCACTGTAATAGAATTTCTTGCAAGAACTGCACAGAAGGATGTGAGAGGCAAGAACGTACTGGAAGTTGTTAAAAGAACAACGGTGAACGAAAGAACTATTCACCAATTTCGCCGATCTATAGTGGACTGGCTCGCTCGCTGTGCTGCAGTTACAAAAGGTAACGGCACAGTCGCGGCCTCACACATAATGACTGCGTTGAGATGCGTTATAAACAGAAGACAGAGCAGCACTTCGTAAGCCTTGAATTGTCGTTGAGGTCGTCAAATGACGATGCGAGGAAAGTTCACTACTGCGGCATTTGTTACATAAAGACCGGTGGTTTGACCAGTTGATTGGTCCGCAGTAGCCAACCTTCTCGTGGTGATGGCCGGGGACATCTTCCAAATTTTTCTTTGCTTGTTTTATTTTTGTTATTGTGACTATGCGAACCCGTGCCGACTGACAATACTGATACAGTCATTCTGACGCACAAAGAGGTTGGTAACTTAAATGACGTCGCAATATCAACAATAAGATCTTGGTTGTGGCTCTCTCTCTCTCTCTCTCTCTCTCTCTCTTTCTCTCTCTATGTGGCCATTACACTTCAGGGGTGTATGGATCGACGCACGACATTGCTGACGCAATTATTGTTCGTATTCCACTTCGATGTATGTGGGGGAAAAAAGGGTCATGGCTCCAAGGCCAAAATACGAGGATCTGTGCAGGTCTTTGAAGGTCGTGGGAAAGAAGGACAAGGGGAGGAAGAAATGCAAGGCTGACAAGAAAAAAGACAGGAGGGAGCATCGCAGAAGCGGATCCAAGAATGAAAAAACGGAGCAGACCAGCAGCCGCAGAAACGCATCAAAAGTTTCGCTCCCATCAAGTCAGAGGGAGATTTCAAAGCTGAAAGAACGCAATGAGTCACCCCCTGCGACTCCTGCCTCACGGAACCGTGACAGCGGCGTCGAGAACCGTTCATCCAAGGCCCCCGAGAAGAGGTCGCGAGAAGACGGAATGTTAAAGGTGCACCGCAGGACAAAGAACAGAATCACGCAAAAAAAGAACAGAATGGTGGAGATGATCGATCTGAGAGGCTCAGGTGATATGCACAGCGCAGCCCGAGAGGAAGCAGAAGAGGAACACGACCAATCCATATCAGAAAAGTCTGACTGGGAGGAGAACGAGGCAACAAGTGACGAGGGAGGTGAGAGTGAAACTTCCGACGGACATTCTCGCGACACTCACGACGCTGATGACGAGGACGGCAGGAGCAGCGACGGCACAGCGCAGGATGAGGGTGGTGACGGGGCAGACGAAGACGATAGAAGCACGGACGGAAGAGAGAGTTCCCCATCTCCAGGAAGAACGAGATGCACGAGGGAACCCGAAAGTGGCGACGAGGGAGGCGCAGCCGACGCACCCTCGATTGACAGACAACTAGTGAGGCACGACGACGCAGTTCAAAATGGTAAACAAAATGTGTTGCAGTTGCTCCTCTTGCACAATGATTATGTGGTAACGGCGCAAAGTGATGGCATTTCCTTAATGCGAGGATGTCGATGTGATGAACGAACAGTTGAAACGGGCTCTGGAATTTCGCAGGTGCGAAAATGGGTGAGAAATGCTGAGTTCTTAATATTATTTTGTGCGTTGTAATGTGTGTCTTCCAGCAGATGGCACGAACTCGCAAAGAAAAGTGTGCACAAGCAGGGGAGGACATCAACAAGCCAATCAAGAAAGCGGCGTGTTCTCGAAGAAAATGAAGGACAGACTGTTCCGGTCGGTCGCAAAAGCCTTTGCGTTCTCAGCAGCAAAGGACGCAACTCTATACCTAACAGAGGATGGATTTTTCATGGCGCTGCAAACAACGGCGAAACTGATAGGGGAAAACGCGGAGGAAGGACTACGATCACACTTAGCGGAGTACGGGATTCGAGCAGTCCTAGGGGAGTACAACAGAATGATGACAACCGTGCGTGGAGAGATAACATGGCAACAGAAACATTGGTTCTGGGCTGAAAAAGGGATCCCACTTATACGATCGCAACAAACAGATCACCAGCTCCCTACTTGCAACAAGATGCGAGCAGAGATGAAGGAGAACAAAACGTGTAGACGGAGCGGCGACGATCCTTGGGGCGCCCCAACCTTCAAGACGACACTCACCAAGGTTTTCCAAATGAGGAGGGACGACGTAAACCTTGGCGTGACCGTGCAACAACTGGCTTTTGCAGAGATGGTTCTGCAATGTGAAATTGAGCAGACAACAAAGACCAGCAGAGCGACGGAGCAGATAGGAAAATTGGTCTCTATAAAGCAGGACATCGCATCATCTGTCCGTAGCCGCGATAAAGTCATGAGTTTTTCGATCTTCAAGCTGGACCGTGCCGTATCTGTTGTTGAGAAGGCTGCTGCGCTATTTTGAGCTGGCGTGCCCTCTGTCCACAGGAGTGGGCCACAAAACATAACAATAACGGATAACGATTTCGACCTGGAGTTCATAGCACCGCTGTATGAGAGAAGCAGAGACGAAGAGAGGGATACAAAAAGTTTGTGCGCCAGACCTTGAACAACCGGGGGGGGGGGGGGGGGGAGGGGGGGAACATAGTAGTGTGAATCAGAAGGTTCATAACTGAATATGTGAATAAAAAGGTCAATAGCTCAATGTCACGCTAATTGCATGCTAGAGAGAGAGAGAGAGAGAGGCGGGGAGATGAAGACTCTGAACCATGGCACTTGAATAGTCACTTTACAACATATGGTCTGTTATNGGTCGCGGGAAGACGGAATGTCAAAGGTGCACCGCAGGACAAAGAAGAGAATCACGTACAAAAAGGACAGAATGGTGGAGATGATCGATCTGAGAATCTCAGACAATATGCAGAGCGCGTCCCGAGAGGAAGCAGAAGAGGAACACGACCAATCCATATCAGAAAAGTCTGACGGGGAGAAGAACGAGGCAACAAGTGACGAGGGAGGTGACAGTGAAACTTCCGACGAACATTCTCGCGACACTCACGACGCTGATGACGAGGACGGCAGGAGCAGCGACGGCATAGCGCAGGACAAGGGCGGTGACGGGGCAGGCGAAGACGACAGAACTGTGGACGGAAGAGAGAGTTCCCCGTCTCCTAGAAGAACGCGACGCACGAGGGAACCCGAAAGTGGTGGCGAGGGAGACGCAGCCGACTCGCCCTCGATTGACAGACAAATAGTGAGGCACGACAACGCAGTTCAAAAAGGTAAACAAAATGTGTTGCAGTTGTTCCTTTTGCACAACGATTACGAGGTAACGGCGCAAAGTGATGGCATTTCCTTAATGCGAGAATGTCGCTGTGATGAACGAACAGTTGAAACGGGCTGTTGAATTTCGCAGGTGCGAAAATGGGTGCGAAATGTCGAGTTCTTAATATTATTATGTGCATTGTAATGTGTGTCTTTCAGCAGATGGCACGAACTCGCAAAGAAAAGTGTGCGGGACCAGGGGAGGACAGCAACAAGCAAAGCAAGAAAGCGGCGTATTCTCAAAGAAAATGAAGGACAGACTGTTTCGGTCGGTCGCGAAAGCCTTTGCGTTCTCAGCAGCAAAGGACGCAACTCTGTATCCAATAGAGGATGAATTTTTCATGGCGCTGCAAACAATGGCGAAACTGATAGGGGAGAACGCGGAGGAAGAACTGCGATCACACGTAGCGGAGTGCGGGATTCAAGCAGTCATTAGGGAGTGCAACAAAATGATGACAACCGTGCGTGGAGAGATGACATGGCAACTGAAACATTGGTTCTGGGATGAAAAAGGAATCCCGCTTGTACGATCGCAGCAAACAGATCACCAGGTCCCTACTCGCAACAAGATGCGAGCAGATATGAAGGAGAACAAAACGTGGAGACGGAGCGGCGATGATCCTTGGGGCACCCCAACCTTCAAGACGACACTCACTAAGGTTTTCCAGATGAGGAGGGACGGCGTAAACCTTGGCGTCACCCTGCAGCAACTGGCTTTTGCAGAAATGGTTCTGCAATGTGAAATTGAGCAGACAACAAAGACCAGCAGAGCGGCGGAGCAGATAGGAAAATTGGTCTCTATAAAGCAGGACATCGCATCATCTGTCCACAGCCGCGATACAGTCATGAGTTTTTCAATCTTCAAGCTGGACCATGCCGTATCTGTTGCTGAGAAGGCTGCTGCGCTATTTCGAGCTGGCGTGCCCTCTGTCCACAGGACTCGGCCACATAACACAACAATAACGAATGACGATTTCGACCTGGAATTCATTGCACCGCTGCATGAGAGAAGCAGAGACGGGGAGTGGGATACAGAAAGTCTATGCGCCAGACCTTGAACCGGGGGGGTGCGGGGGGGGGAGAGGTGGTGAACACAATAGTGTGAATCAGAAGGTTCATTACGGCATCAGTGAATCAAAAGGTTCATTACACAAGGTCACGGTCATTGCATGCGAGAGAGAGAGAGAGAGAGAGAGGCGGGGAGATGAAGACTCTGAACCATGGCACTTGAACAGTCACTTTATAACATATGGTCTGTTATTTATGATACACAATTGTACAATCCCATGTAATGCTCATCTTTGTGTGATTGGTCATAGAGCGACTATGTTATGAAAAAACACCATCCGTGGTTGTCGTCAATGCAAGGTTGGCTAGTGCGTGCCACTCTCTCTCTCATGCCACCATGTTGCTAAATTTGTGTCACGCAGTAGTGAACCGTGCTTGGAGCAGGACAGTTCAACATTTAACTGAGGCTCCCTCACGCATCCATCCATAGAATGAAGCACAATAATCCTATGGACTCGAAAAGGAAGGTTGACTACTGCGTGCCACTCTCTCTCGCGGACGGCAATGTTGGTAAATTTGTGGCCCGCAGTAGTGAACCGAGGTTGTAGCAGGGCATCTCAGCATTTAATTGAGGCTCCCACACGTGTACGTCCATAGAATGAAGTACAACAATCCTACAGACTCGAAAAGGAAGGTTGGTTACTGCGTGCCACTCTCTCTCGCGGACTGCAATGTTGGTCAATTTGTGTCACGAAGTAGTCAACTGTGCTTGTAGCAGGGCAGCTCAGCATTTAATCGACGCTCCCTCACGCGTCCATCAGCAAAATGAAATACCGCAATCCGGCACAAATCAAAAACAAAGGTTGGCTACTGCGGGCCAAGGCCTGTCTCGCACTGCCATGTTGGTGAATTTGTGTCACGCAGTAGTGAAGCCTGCTTGCAGCTCTCTCTCTCTCTCTCTCTCTCTCTCTCTCTCTCTCTCTCTCTCTTTCTTTGACACTCTCTCTTTATCTTCAATCATTGTGGTCGTTGCATGTCAAGACTACTGGAAGACTCAACGATTGACATTTGCGAAAGAGCATAGCGTATTGTGCAGCAGAGAGAAAAGTGTGGGAAGAAACCGCAAAAACCGACGACATGAGCCAAAAATTTCGATTCTTTCCCCCAACACAGAACGTAACGTTCTACGAAAGGTGAACACGTTTTCAACACGTTTCAACAAGTTTTCAACACGTTTCAATAAGTTTTCAACACTTTTCAACACGTTCTAAACACGTTTCAACAAGTTCTCCACAAATCTTCAACAAGTTTTGAACAAGTTGTCAACAAATGGTCAACAGATGGACCAACATCCTTTCAACAAATGGACACACCAGTTTCAGTTTTTTCAATGTTTGGTCAGCTTTGGTTTCCTTCACTTCTGGTGGAACACATGACCCCTACCCCGCCAAACAGTTTATAAACACAGTTCCAACGATTGAAATATGTTGTTCACATGTGATCATCCTGTCAGAAAATTTGCCACAATTTTTTTCTTGTAGCTAGCAAGTCCTAGAAAAAATTGCAATTTAGTTACTGTCTCGGGTTTGGCCCAATCTCTGATTGCTGTGATTTTTTTTTCTTCTGGCCTTATTCCTTCTTTATTTATTATGTGTCCAAGATAAAGTACCTCAGACTTAGCAAATTATGACTTCTTAGCATTCAGTTTATAGTTACCTTCTCTCAATTTTTGTAGAATCATTCCTATGTGTTTATCATGATCCTCGAGTATCTTCCTCTAAACGACAATGTCGTCGAGATACACAATTACGAATTGATCTAACCACTGCCGAAACAGTCCATTCATAAACCGTTGGAAGGTTATGGGGCGTTAATTAGACCAAAGGGCATAACAATAAACTCATAGTGCCCATACCTCGTTCAGAACCCCAGCTTGTGTTGATCTTTAGGTGCCACCTCGATCTGATGGTAGCCTCACTTCATATTGATCTTACTGACGTACGTGCAACCCTACAATTGGACAAAAAAATCAACAATCCGAGGAAGGGTCCCACATTTTGATCGTTACGAAATTCAAACCCCGGTAGTCAATACACAGTTTAAGTTCTCATTTCGTTTTAGGCACGAATAGTACAGAGGCGTCGTAGGGCGAGGAACTTTATTGAATTCATCCTTTATCAGTAAGTTATTGCAATTGTCTTTTCAGTTCTTCTAGCAAAACACCTACTCATGTTTGCACAATTTTCATTTCTGCAATTATCAATTCGCCCTTAGACTTCATTTTCTCGGCCCACAAACTTCGTAAAGCAATGAGTTCACAACCAAGTTCATCAAGGGAATCACCTAGCGAGATAAAACACAAAACTTTTTCAGGGTGATCTGGGTGATGGTCCGAAGTAGAGTCATCCTCTGCCTTGCGAGTTAGGAGGTTGAAAGGGTTTGTCGGCGCCTTGCCTTTGTTTAAGCCCACCAACTCAGTAAAAGCAGATGCTACTTCTACGAGTTGTTCCTTTTTGGGTTACGGATGAGGGGACACCATGCTATGATCTGTCTTCCAGTGCCACATTTTAGACATTGTCGATTGTCCATCCGTTCGTGTCATTCGCTCTAGGTTAAACCCATCTTTTCCTTGGGCCGACTAGAAGTAATGCCAGGATGCTCGGGTAAGGAGGGTGGCCTACTCTTCTTCAATCCACCATAACGGTTGGTGCCACCCTTGTTGGCCACCATGGCGGTGATGCCATCCTTTCCTGACTCACCGCCACCACTTGCTTCGCTCTCGGCCTCTTCGAGGCTCTTCGAGGAGTCATTTCTCAACATTCTCGTTGTCAAAGACAACAAGAGTGTGGTCTTGTCTCTTCTGCCTCCACATGACTCGTTGTTTATTCTCATACCCACTCGTCTGCCCACCCCTCACAACGTTCGGTTAGGTTTTCTTTACCTGTGTTGTCATCTGCTCTCTTTGAAGCGAGAGGTCCCAGAATTGTCGATAATTATATACTAGACTTTGCTTCCACCACAAGTGATCTGCGTATGGGCTTTGGCAGTGCACGCGTGTAAAGGTATCAAACCTAGTTATCCTGAAGGTTTAACCTAGGCATCTACAAAAGACGATCCACCTCACGTGACGAAGTTTCGACGTTTGACCAACGCTTCTGATTGATGATAGTGAGCTCGTCAAATGCCTTGTCCGCAATCGTTTTGTTGAGAAATCTCTCCTTTATCTTCTTGAGAAATTCCCACAATGTCATGGTCTTGACCCAGTCACCAATATCTTCGAAGCGAGCGGTGTTGGCCTCGGACAGAACCCACTCTTTCATAACTTCTCCCAAGCAGGAGGTGGAGAAGGCGACTTAGTTGTCTTCAACTACTGGTGTGGTCCCACAACAGGTCTGGATTTCGGCAATCCATGGCAAAGCTGTTTTCTTGTTTTACCGTTGTAAGCAACTGGTCATTTCATTTTGACCTTTTATTTTTTTTGTCTTTGATTTCTCAATTTCTTTCTTCTTTGGGGATACCTTCTTAGAGGTCTCCGGTTCCTTGGGGTCATGAAATTTTATGACATCTTTCAATAGTTCTTCTTGAGACTCTTTTTTTTCGTTCTTTTCCTGGGCTAGCTCTTCTTCCACAACTTCGTTTTTCCCTTTCACTAATCTCATCACAGTCTGGAGTTATGCGGTGACGTTATCAATCTTGATGTCTAAGTGTGCAAGGTAAGCCATCATGTTCTGTAACACATACACCATGTCAGTTTCTTAATCCACAATATTAAATTTATATTTTGTCTCTTCTACTTTTCTTGCTTGTTGCTCTTTTTTGTTCCATTCTTTCTGATAAGCTTCTTTCCTTCTCATTTATGCTTCCAATGCGGCTTGCAATTATTTGATTGTGTTATCCATAATCTGTTCAGTTAATTCGGGTTATCCTCTTGTTTCACTTGGTCCTCCTTTCCTCTCTTCCTTGACCTCTTCTTTAACTATCTTCGTGACTGCTTAACAACAAAATGATTGAGGGACATTCGTTCTCGATGTCAGTTTCTTAATCCACAACATTAAATTTATATTTTGTCTCTTTTACTTTCCTTGCTTGTTGCTCTTTTTCGTTCCATTCTTTCTTATAAGCTACTTTCCTTCTCATTTCTGCTTCCAATGCAGCTTGCAATTATTTGATTGTATCATCCATAATCTGTTCAGTTAATTCGCGTTCTCCTCTTCTTTCACTTTGTCCTCCTTTCCTCTCTTCCTTGACCTCTTCTTTAGCTATCTTCGTGACTGCTTAACAACAAAATGATTGAGGGACATTCGTTCCCGATGTCAGTTTCTTAATCCACAACATTAAATTTATATTTTGTCTCTTTTACTTTCCTTGTTTGTTGCTCTTTTTCGTTTCATTATTTCTTATAAGCTTCTTTCCTTCTCATTTTTGCTTCCAATGCAGCTTGCAATTATTTGATTGTATCATCCATAATCTGTTAAGTTAATTCGAGTCCTCCTCTTCTTTCACTTGGTCCTCCTTTCCTCTCTTCCTTGACCTCTTCTTTAACTATCTTCGTGACTGCTTAACAACAAAATGATTGAGGGACATTCATTCTCAATCAAGTACCGCTGGTCTCCAAGATCTAAACAACAGTTTCAGCCCGCGTGAGTTCGTCTTCTGCAGCTTGCAGATGGAACTGGCAGTGTATGTGTTGTTCAACGTCTGACACAATGTCATGTAATTCAGTGAGCAGCTAACAAACACGACCTAACATTTGCTGCCGTTTTTCT